AGAAATGATGTACAAATGCGCTTTACACAATTGATGTGTGTATGGATTGGGATAACAGTTGTATGAGCCCCTAATAAAATGTTTTTAAAAAAATTTGAACTATAAGTTTAAAAAAAAAACTCAGATAATTGTACTAAAATACACTTATTCTGAGTTTCATTGAGTATATTTGTCATTATTCAAAGTTTAATATAAAGAAGGATCTATTAAAGATAAACTCTTTTTACAGAAGTTATGTGTAACTATAGCCTACTCTTTTCAGGAACCTCTGTTCTATATTTTATTAGTCGTTTTAATAAATCATTGTTTTGGTCTTCTTGGCAGGCTTTCTACCCAGTGGAACACCCAGTAGATGTAAGTTTTGGTGATGTACTGGCAGCAAGATGTGTATTCACTGGAGAGGGAAGGACAGAGGCCACTCACATTGGGTATGATTCTTCCAGTTTTGCTCCTTGGAGATTTTGTGGTTGTGACTGTAGGTGGCAGTTATCAGATGTGAATGAGCTGTACCTTTTTTCTCGTCTTTAACAGGAGCTCTCGGGGGTTATGCATTGGGGTGCTAGCCAAAGGGCTCCCACATGAGAAAGATGGGGCTGTCTGCTGCCGTAACTAGTCACTCTGAGTCAGAATTGGCTCAGTGACCGAGAATGGTTGACTGTTGTGTACCATTTTGTCCTTCTTTAACTAAGCAAGTGAATTGATGCCCGAAGCTGTGCTTGTTTCTGCATTCCTTCTTTCTTTCTGCTTGTTGAGGGTATCAGCCTCGCCCCAAGAGTAATTACCGCAGGAGTCACTTGGACTCATTTTAATAAAGAAAAATAAAATGATTCTGATTTTTTTCTCCAGTGTACTTTTTGCCCATATTCAAATTAAGGCAAATATATGGGTTCTGCATTTCATGGTACTTATTTAATAGTCAAGAATCCCTGGTGATGCAATGGTAAAGTGCTCGGATGTTAACCACAAGGTTGAGGGTTGAAACTTACCCACTAGTTCACCAAGAGAAAAGATTACAGCCTCAGAAGCCCCGTGGGGCAATTCTCTGTCCTACAGGGCTCTCTGAGTCAGAACCTGCCGGAAAACCTCACAACAAGAATCAGAACCGTCTTCTCTCTATTAAGACGTTTACATATTTAACATTTTTCTGGTGCTTTAGTCCACTAAGTGGGAATAATAATATGCAAAATAAGATGTGAGAGCTTTTAAATAGTTCTCTAGTTAACTAGTTAACTAGTTCAAAATACTGAGCCTCCTCAAGTCAGTATATTTGACAACACTAAATAAAATTTTGAAGTGCTTATGAATTTTTCCAAAAAGCTTTACCTAAATAAAATGAAAGATAAAGTCTGTTATCCTTCTTTTTGTTAGAAAAGAGCCAAGAAGCCCCTTTTACATGTTAAACTAGGTTATAAAATATTTACAGATGGAGCATAGAAACTCACGTTTTCAATCATTTATCTCCTGATCACAAAGAAGTTAGAAGGCAGGCCTCTGAAAGCAGACCTGGGCTGCACTGGAGGTGATTGTTAGGGTAACAGCACTAAATATTGTCAGAGGAAAGGAACCTGCTGGTGTAAGGAAGAAGGCGGCATTTTATCTAACAGAGTTTCCATGTTAGTAAATATCCATATTTTAAGAGTAATGATAGAAAAATATATCGATTTATATTGTCTCCAACAGCTCTGCTTTGGGGAAAGGGACTTGAGGGCAGCGATACAATGAGTTATAGGACATGGACATGGTAAGAAAAAGATTTGTAGAAGAAGAAAAGTAGACAAAACTAGATTTAAAGAATAGAAACTGACTTTCACTTCTTAGAAATCTTTAAGTATAGGAAACAATATGATTCAGAGGCTATTGATTAACTGTTTTATGTCATTGTAGAGCCATAGAGGCGTAAATGCCACTGCATTATTTGTATTAATCTTTGAAATGGGTAAATAAGCAGGGTAGTGGAAAAAAAAGGGTTTTGTTTGTTTTGATTTTGCATATTACATGCTATTGGTTTACAAATTTAAGTATGGAACAAGTGGAAGATTTTCTTTGTGGTTTTTTGTTGTTTATTTGTTTTATCTAGCGGTCTCTTCACAATATCAGGGGTCTGGTATCTTGGACTAATGTCTACTGTGTGAGTTTCCCTGCAAAGCAATTTCCCCATAGAAATTAATGACTTGTTATAATACCAGGATGAGAGAAGAAGTGAGCTCCAGAGGCTTCTCTCCGTTTCATGAGTCCAGAACAATCCTTGTCTGTTTGAAATGTACATTTTGCTTTAAGTAATAACCCAAAATGACTACAGTAATCTATCCTTTTGTAAATCTCATGTGGGTTAAAAGAAATGCCATTTTTGTACTACAGATGAAATGGATAAAAAAATAATGGGAAATTAAGTTGTTGGGGTAAGTCTGTAGTCGGCATACTTAATTTACGCCACAGAAGCAATTTTGCCCCCCAGTGGAATGACACGCTAGAACAAATGAGAATAAGTGTAAATGTGAATAACAGCCCTCACTGAGGGTAATGCATCGTTTCCTGTAGCCATTTGAGAAAGGTAGCGTCTACGTGGATCTGCTTTGTGAAGTAATGGGTCCCATCTCCCTAGAGTGCTGTAAGATCAACTGCGAATGTGGACAATAAAACAAGTATATTACATATCTTAATGAAATGGTTCTCTGCAAATCTCCTCTACATATTTTCTCTTCTCATCTAGCCCTTAAGCTGCACACACAAACTTATACTCCCACTGGGCAAAGAGGCTTGAACCTAAAGCCTAGAACAGACAGAAATGGCTATTGTCTAAGAGTAGTTTGGATAGAAAGCCATCTACGTTCCGTTTCACGGCAGTACCTGGGAACTCGGTTTCACTGGAACGTAATGTTAACAATGCCCTACAAAAATGTCCTCTCAAATGATTCTTCCGTCTCAGTTCAGTTTGATCCTATAGTAAGATGAAAGTTCTAGAATGAAAGGAGAAACTCTTCTTTGGTTAAGACAACTATGTAAACTAATACATCCATTTTTTTTTAACTTTTATTTTAAATTTAACTGACTCTCGAGCCATAAGTTTTTGCTTCATCAGTTTCTTCTGGGAGATCTTTTTCTTCTGTGCAGCCTCCTTTTCTGGTCTAGTAACAATTTGTCCCTTTTCAGGAAGGACTATTTCCGTGTGGCAGGGGAGTTCATGTATAGTGTGATCCAACCAGGAGCTCTGTAGGTCTGCCAGCGGTGCATCTTGGGGGCTTTGTTCACTTGGATGCTGAATGACCTGAGAATTCATATCTAAACCCTCACATTCAGCATTACTGTCTGCAATTTTTAATATGTGCAACAAAAATTCAGCACTCTTTTTGGGCCACCACCCTGGGTCCAACCCCGCTGTTTGACCTGGGCACACCCACCAACGCCACCATTGTAATGTAAAAGGGCACATACTGCTTCTGCAAATACTTGGTGGCTTTCCTTATATGCGTACCCTTAATGGCCTGGGCAGTTTCACAGGTGTTCTTAAAATGGACCCAAAGATTCAGCCCTCTTGATTTGCATGATTTTGTGGGGTTTCTGGGTCAGTGAGTAACAGACCATTTTGGCAGGTCACCTCAGGCCTCTATGAGAAGAGTTAAAAAGTCTTTTTTATAAAATATTGGTGCTAAATATATATTGGTACTAATTTTGCCATACCAGGATCTATCTCAAAATGCATACTTTAAGGATAAGGTAGATTTAATACAGCAATTACTAATAGATATACTTAATGGTAAAATATTTTTATCTAGATGCAGTCTATTTCTTTTTCAGTAGATTGGTACAACTTTGTTTAAGATGCTATATAATGTATCTTAGACAAAATTCCAACAACCCTCAGATTTTAAACATGTAAGTCTAACATTTCCTAGTCAAATGTTGGTTTTAATATATAGTAATAGTGGACCTTTCTTTGCATAAAAAACATTAAAGGAAAACTTCCAGCTACACTAAAACATGTTTAACCTAATAACACAATAATAGTATTTTTATGAGTGTTACAAAGTGGTGCCATATGTTATTATGAACCATTGTTACGGACCTCAAATTTTTAATAGATTTCATAAGGATTGGTTATATGTCAGGGACTCCCTATATGTACAACCTGGTACTAATAGCTCTATAAAGTAGCAATACTTTGGTTCTGGCTGCAAAAAATAAATATTTTACATTCAATATGTTACTTCTCAAAGTTCATATTCTCCAATTCGAGCCAAAATTCATCTGACATCAGCAGTGATATCTCTTGTCCCACGTCCTCTTCTGGCCTGAACTTCTGGCAGTTCCTTTATCAATGCACTGTTGCAACTGTTTCTTTATTCTTTTTTTTGTTTTGTTAGTTTTTTGTTTGGGATTTTTTTATTAAATACTTTTATTGGGGGCTCTTACATCTCTTATCACAATCCATACATTCATCCATTGTGTCAAGCACATTTGTACGTATGTTGCCATCATCATTCTCAAAACACCTGCTTTCTACTTGAGCCCTTGGTATCAGCTCTTCGTTTTCCCCCCTCCCTCCCTTACCCTCCCTCCCTCAGGAACCCTTGATAAGTTAGATTACTATTTTCATATCTTACATCATCCTCTGTCACCCTTCACCCACTTTTCTGTTGTTCGTCCCCCTAGGAGGGGGCCATATGTCGATCCTTGTGATCAATATCCCCTTCCTCCCCCAACTTAACCCCCATCCTTCTGGTATCTCTATTCTCATTGTTGGCCCTGAGGGGTGTATCTATCCTGGATTCCCTGTGTTGCAGGCTCTCATCTGTAGCCCTGTGAATGCTCTGATCTAATCCAGTTTGAAAGGTAGAATTGAGGTCATGATAGTGAGAGGAAGGAAGCACCAAAGAACTACAAGAGAGTTGTGTTTCATCAGTGTTATACTGCCCCCTGACCGGCTCACCTCTTCCCTGTGAAGGATGTTCAATTGTCTACAGATGGGCTTTAGGTCTCCACTCCTCATTTCCCCCTCCCCGCCCTATTCACATTGGTATGATTTTGTTCTGA